GCAAGAATATGTTGTACATGATATTCTTTACACTGGTCAACTTTTTAACTTTAGCAGAACCGTCCTGGGTTGTTGCAACAAATTGCATAGATATTGTAAGGGCTTCTAATCCTTCTTTAACAGAAATAACAGGCAACTCGTCTTTCTCATTATTCTGACTTTCATATGCACAGCGTCGATATAAAATTATATTATGTAATTGATTACGTAAATGCATGTTCTTGCATAAAATACACGGTAATGCAAATAGACAAGTGCGACAGTTTTTAAACAATCTCCAAACCCCAGACGCTCATTGGGGGACAGCAAACTTGGGGTATCTTAAGAGCACATGGTTTCAATAATTGCCATTATGCGTTAAGCGAGGTTATTGACTCATTCAACGACTTACTTTCTATGGTATAATTAAAAATTGTAAGTAAACAGAAAAAAAAAACAAAGTCTTGAATAAGTTTATCAATCGGTATTGAGTATATCAATATTCGATGGGTCAAATCATCAAAACCTTGCAAGTTATTTGTTTAATAAAATAACAAGACAGCAGACTGTACTATTTTAATTCAAAAGTAAAAGCCAATGACCGACTGGATGAGATTACAAATTGTTAACAGTCCACTAAAACTCGATTCATAATTATAGTACGTTTGTGCAGTTTTACGGTTGGTTTTTTGTAATTACTTTGGCGCACTTGACGTGATAAATATTAACAATGATAATAATAGTATTGTTCCAAAACCAGTTGACTGTTCGACAAAAACTAAAATATAGAAATTCGGCGGCAACACCTAGAGATGAGATTAGAACCTTCAAAGCAATTAATGAAACGTTTGTTAATGATTATCGGAAATGCAAAACCGTTTGTGTTGTAATAAATGGACTCTTGGGAGCACAGCTATAACCGGCTATAGTCAGACATAATCAAATTAGTTTTTTACTTGAAACACATCACAGCTCTTACGGTTAAACGAGCCGTTTTATTTATTTCCTCAACGCTTGAACTTTTATTTACTAAAAATTATACATATCTTGGCTTGAGTTCAACATCTTGTAATTAAAATCGGTTACTGATGCATTGCTACTAAGTTAATTTAAATACAAGTAACAGCAAATACGAACGTAGAGTTATTACAAACAATATAGGTTAACTGCAAGTTTCAACGTCTGTTCAGTACATTAATCGAGACAACTTGATTATTTAGGAAAAGTGCTTTAGAATCCCCTGCATCACATTAGCCTTGAAGCAATTCTAAATATATCTTGCCATAAAACAGAACCAGTAATACTGTCGCAATGTTTGTAACGCATCGGAGTCCTATAACTACATTATTGTGTAGTAAAAGTTATTGAATCGATCAACAACAAATACTCGGGCATATAATTTTCTAACAGTATTATCAAACGAATGTTTTTGTTGTCACAAATATCCGGAATTTAATCACGCAAACAAAAAAATTTTATTTTTGTTATTTTTGTATGCTTAAATTTCGTACATACTGTACATTGCCAAATACAGTTACTAACTATGTGTAATCTATCTTTTCCCCCTCCCGCTTAATTGCCCGATTTTTCATACCTAAGGAAGAGAGCATCATTCAGACCTTTTATTCCTGACGAATTATTGTTTGAAGTTCAACTGTTGAAAGTTGGGGTTTTTCCTTAACCTTAAATCTACTTCTTTTTCACTTTCCTTAAGTATTGCCCACAGGTTCTCAATTTATATCTGGCGAGGAAGAAGGCCAATCAAGAATTCGAATACCATGGCGTTCAGTCATTTCGCTTGCCTTGTGGACTAGAAGAATTATCCTGTTGAATTAATATTAATATTGTAATACCAATTTTTTGTATCGGTTACACTGCATGATATTTATTATTATGTACCGGACCAAAATTCCGGATAGCATGTGCCGATTATCAGGCAATATTGGAATTTGATTAAAAAATGTTAAATAAATTAGTAATAGTTGCCAATAATTGACAAACAGAATTGGGGGGTTTTTTTTAGATTTATTTGCCTTGCATAATATTACATACGACAAGAGTCTAGAAAAGAAGAGTCCAAAAGCCGTGTAATTGTTCGAGTGCGTTATCTGGAAAAGTCTACTTTAAGTGTCCTTTATTGTATGTAAAAAAAATAAGTTTAATAAATAATCCATTCATTTGCGTATAGTAATAGTCTTAGTTATATAAATACCATTATAATAAAAGTTGCGTAATGGCCGGAGATTGTTGAATAATTAATATTGTATACATACTATATATTATATTTTATGCATATTTGATAGTTCCCGGATGTCTTCAATCGATAAGGAATCCCTAAAACTGGGAAGCAACACAAGGGCGTAAACACAGCAAACAATCGTCATTAGAACAATAGGCATAAAAATCTTTGAAATTCTAACTCCTAATAAATACTAACAATAACGTATTATATAAATTCTAGTTCAAAGACTCTCGGCTCCTGTTTATCGGGGGTTGGCTTGTTTTTTCAACTAGCGAAAAATTGAATAATTAAATAGTACGAATATAATTTGAGAACAGCGGTCCATAACTATATATGTACGCAGTGCAACCCATGCATATACACATCATAACAACTACGCCACTTATAAGCACGGAGCACACAAACCAATCATTATGACTTCTACTATTCTTAATACTGTAATACTGGGAACTTCGTTACCAAAACGCTTTGAAAACTTTCCCTTTTGGTATATGACGCCGTTGTTTCCGATGGAAGATTCGTTTTTCTTTAGGCGGGTGGCGTTTGGCACAAATAATCGGCTTTTCCAATACTGGTAAAAAATTGGCTGTTTTTTTACAGGTTTCAATCTATAATATGTGTTTTTTTGCTCCCTATCCAATTGCTTTAAGCGTCTGTTATAACCAAGGAACAATTCCAATGCAGATCGGTGTAGCCTCGATTGGTTTTCCATGAATAGTTTTATATTGATTCCTAAGTTTGCCGGTTTAAACTGTCTTCTTGCAAGGAAGGTTTGCGTTCCTTTATTAATGAACGATTAAACGCTGAAGGATGAGCTTGTGCTTTAACATACACGTGCGATATACATTGTATCATTGTTCACCACATGGTATGATACAAAAACGGCAGTGAAGTCCCTGCATGATGCCATTCCATTGAAGGAAAGGACAAAGCCAAATCTTTGTTCTATTCAACTTCTATAGCTTCTTTCTATAAGAATCATCATTGTCTCATTGTCTACGAAATACTAATGCCGTACCTCTCGGGACAACACAGACATTAACTAATAGCAATTAACATTAAGGTTACCCTAATTAATAATTGTGACGTTATACAGCACCAGTTCCATGTAAGGCGCACTGTAATTAGGCACTACATTTATTTCAAAGAGTTATAGTAAATAGTCTCTTATTTACTTCTTAATTAACAAAAGCCAGTTTCTAAAGTGAGGTTGAAAGGAAAAATAGATTGAAAGAGAAGAGTTAGACGAAATTTGCAACTTTCCCAAGACGTTGTGTTTATCGACTATAGCTATCGGCGAAATAAAACGGCCGTCGGTGAAAGTTGTAACTCGGTGAGATGAAATAAATTGTCGGTCGATGCTTGTCAGCCAATCATGAATTGACAAACGTTATATTATTAATACACCTTATGTCGATTTTTGTTTGATCGAGAATAATGTAGCTAATCAACACTTATGATACATGAAACACAACACTACTCTCTAATAAGGCTCTTAATACTATTCGTCTTCCAAATTGCCGTCTACAAACATTACGAAATTCGATTTGCCAAATAAAAGTTGCATATGTTCATCTTGCCATAAGAATTTATAGCGTAAGGGATAGACTTGTTCCTGAGATACAATAATCATGGAAGCATAGCAAATCCTAAGACTTGTTTCAGCTTGATATGAATTACGTTACTCGGAAGATAAAGACGAACTTGTGAGTGTGCCGCGATATGGAATTACAGATTACATGTAAATTCAAGTTGCATGAAACCTATTTATCGAGACACAGTTTCAATGTTGGGACTTGTGCGGCTATAGTGATTGCACAAGGATGGTTTTTGCTCATCTAAACGTTGGAGTTATTGTACGATTGTCTCATGTCTTCCTCTTTCCTTATCATATTTAAGATTACCGAATGCACAACTATTTTAACAACGTTCGTACTATTATATCCTTATAACCGTTCGATAGTTAAGCTTTCTCTATCCTGCTTTTCTTCTTATCCAAAACTTTTCTCAAGTCGCGGAGAGAACTCAAAACGTTCAAAATTGACAATTCTACCCTGTAAGACGCTTTTTCTATTTGTTCAATAGGTAGCGTGTTACAATATGGCGCGCGATATATTACAATACTGACCGTGGTGCATAATATTTTGAACACAACAGTTTCATATCATGCGTTCTACTGCAGGTCTTCATGGTCCTTATGGTCGACTAACTCGGTATGTGTTGCCAAAATTTTTTGCTAAAAGCAAGATAGTCGGTTGATAGCATCTAGCGTGCATATTCGGATCTACGTATATGCAATCAGACTAGACTTATTTAGCATCCTTTGTTGTATGTATTGTACAATAGTTTCTTTATGTTCGGCGGCGATAACGCAGCCACAAATAATGAGATACAAAAAATGTATATAAAAACCGAACTTCTGAACCTACGTTCGCGTAAATGAACTTACGTTACGATCGTATTATGACTGACAAACCGATAAACAATAAACGCAAGTGAAGTAAACTTAAATTGTAATATGATATTAAAATTTAATATATAATTTTCCTTGGATTACAACCACATTGGATTAATACATATTATATTTCACACAGTCAAGAAGCTTATACGTTTTACAACAAGTTTTATTCCCGTCGTTATTATTTTACAACCGTGCAACGCCCTTTGGAGAAGACTCTTATCTTGTTGGTCGAACCAGAGCATTTAACAGAGCGTCTGTAATACCTCCAAACTTACAGAAACCATCATTACTGATCGCAACAGCAGTGTTATTAAAAGTATGAGTAGAGCGTGGCCGACAAAGGTATGCTTCTTGACCATAATAAGTTGTGTTTGACTATACTGATATGTACTCATTAACGTCTAATCTCTTATCTGTACAAAGGTAGATGAAATCCTTGTTAGATTTGGCAATGGAAGAAATGGAAGAAGGATGAGAGCAACCCATCTGAATCATAAAACGGCAAAACAATGTGCTGATAGATGGAAAAACATTTTGAGATGTATGTACTTTTATTTAAGCAACATTATTCTTGGTTTCAGTTAGGAGTTCAGGTGGCTTGGTTTTTACGCGCGTATTGTTCAGCCCGTAACTTACTAACATATATTCCAACAGATAATCCAACAGATATTGACAGACCATTTACCCCTTTTGAGTGTAATATGATTCGGCAGTTGTACCAAAAATATGGCTCTCGATGGGGAAGAATGTCCACAGTTCTCCACCGCCCTCCTCAAATGATAATGGAATGCTGGATTTCTTTAAATGCTATAGACGAAGCGAGAATACGCGAACAAACACGCGAGCAAACACGCGAGCAAACACGCGAGCAAACACGCGAACAAACACGCAAACAAACACACGAAACATGCGAACAAATGGCTATTCAACGATTTCTTTCTTGAAACCTCTTCGGCACGATTGCGATTGCGTTTTATGGAACATAATGTAAAATATGCAATATGAACAAAGCAAATAGTGTGAGAAAATAGCACTGTTCCCAAAATATATGGCTGAAATATACATGCAAGCAGAGTAATCAAATTCATCAGGGAGGACCATTAAGGCATATGCACAAAAGAATTTATAAGATTATCTTTTTTTTTTTGAATCGTCAAGAGACTCGTTATTAAATAAACGACACCGATTATGTATGATCGATTATGATATTATTAATGAAAATTATGTTGTCAATGTAAATCGTTTCTTTTTATGATAGTATAGAATTTTTTCAATGTCTTGACCCGTATATAACATGAGCGCGCTTTCTTTCATGTTTGCTGATAGTTCATCTAATCGTTTTAATGCTTCATTTTTCAGACGTTGCTGATTAAAGGTTTTCTAACTCATTATTCCTTTTCAAAAGCACTTCATGTGCTGCATCCTGACAAGAATAACCTTTTTCAAACGAATCATGAGCTAGCAATTCGTTACTGTCATCAGAGAATTAAATATTTTTCTCTGTTGCTTATGAATCTAAAAAAAAAGTCGTTTATTTAGTAAGTGTTTAATGAAGAACTCTTTAACAGTATTTACTCATAAAAAGAGTGCTTATTCAGAGTCAAGTGATACAAATAATTCAGGAAATACTTGGTTTTTTTCCTACTGCAGCATGTCGCTAGATTTAATCCTCTATTGTACCAATGGCAAGAGAATCAAATAGATAAGGCAAGTCTTTGGCTTCTGGTTTCCAGCTCCTAGTAAAGGAAAGCATAGGTTTAAACTCAATTTAAGAGAGAACCCGCTTTGTAAGGTCTCGTGGATTCAAACCACATCTCGTAAAGAGTGTGTTTCTGTCGTTAGTTTTGATTGATAAGTCAAGATATCAAACGCCACTAGCACGATTATAGATTATTCTACAAATTTTTAAAATGTCTCCGACTGAGTATATTACTTAACTAAAAAGTCACGCCGGCCCATATTAATGTGAAAATCTATACTAGAAATTTTACACAACACGACTTATTATGATGTGAATCCATTCTCATTTTCTGTCACTTTCATCAAACTCATCTCTTACTCTTGCTTTATTTTATACATGTCAATAAAAAACATCTTTGCAAAAACAAGAAATAGGTAACATCAAATTGGAATATCCATTATCTAACACTAGCAGAACTTGCAACAAAACACTGTTTGTTCTGCCCTTAATACTGAGAATTCTTTACATTATTTGATTTATTCCAAGCACATAATGTACTGTATATACAGTAAACCTGTTACATCCATAGTTCACACTTTGTTATCCAAGATCCAGTGGATTGGGCGATTGCCAGCCTTGATCTATATCCTGGCATGTGAACTGCCTAGACAGACATTAAACATTTATACATCAGGAACTTAGGATATTGCACTATAACGAAGTTTATATAATAATTCATCAAATAATACATTTGTGTTACTTGGGGGAGGGCCTGGGTTTGGGACATTTGGCGATATGCCAATTGCACATACATATGTAATGCTTTTCAAAGAATAATACACTACCTACTCAAAAGTCACTGACACGCATAATTTCGTAATAAACGATTCAAATGCCATACAATCTTAACTGTATTTTGCGCTTTTTCTAACCTACAAATCTGCAAAATTTTATTATATACAGTACAGTAAACCCTCTCTAATATCAACCCCACGGGACCGGCCAATTTCGTTGTATATGCGGGGTTGGATATCATAGGGGGTGTTAGGGTTTTATTTTGGTTACGTGAAACCGGGTATAAGCAGTCTCAACCGTTTACTTATTAATATATAATGAAAATTTGCAGATTGGTAGGGCAGAAAAAGCGCGAATAGATTGTATGGAATTTGAATAGTTTATTACGAAGTTATGCGCAATTAACGAAAAAATTGAGGGGTGGTTAGTGACTTTGAGTAGGTAGTGTACAGGCATTTCTGTGTTAATAATTTAAAATTTAAGAATGTCAATTTGTTCTTCCTGATAAATGCTAACAAATGATGTTTAGAAAGTTGACAAATATTACTGTGAACAAGGGCCTACCTTTATCATATGCAAAATTATTACATAATCACAGCAGAAATTAGAAACATCCTTTTCAGGTAAATTTAATCTTAGTTCTGCCCATGGCTTAAAGCCTTAATGAACCTGAAAATATTATGTTATACGGTTTGTTAATAATGGTGTGTAGACCCACAAAATGCACATAATTCTGCCATGAGCTTGCTCAGAAAAGGAAAATTTAGATTTTCCTTATTAATAATTAAGAGTGAAAATTTATGTTTATAAGGTATGATATCAAAGTTGATATATGCGAGGGAATTAGGTATGTAAAGGGAATACCAACATTTTGATGTTAACGGGTGGTCAACTATAAAAAAAAATATTACAATCATGCCCGTTATTTGATACAAATTTGTTTTTATCTCAAAGATGGCTTGATTGAAAACAAGCCTTGCTATGTTTACTAACAACAGAAAGTTAAAAATTCTCGATTATCCAACTTGGAATTAGCTAAAGGATATTGTACAGGGATTAGAAAAATGAATGTGGCATAAGTTGGGAGAAGCAATATCATTATGGCCATAGGTAATGGATATTACAATCTACTATTACTATGATATATTTGTTGTATATAATTTGTGTCGCTATATAAATCCCGGATTTATATATAATTTGTGGTACGCAATTTATATATTAATATGGGGCGTGCTGCAGTGAACTTGTGACGTCACTCAGGTATCTTAATTTTTAATTACTTCCTTATTTTCAATCAAGGTCACTTTTTAACCTTAATCTGAGCACTCTGTTGAGAATTTACCACATGAAAGGTTAAATCTCGGTCGAACGTGAATGTGTATAGTATTTCTGGACTTCTGAGGTATAGGTGAGTTGTTTTGACAATTATTTCAACTGAATCACAATCTCCATGTTGTTCCCATCTAGATTACGTTGTAAAAAAAAGGTCATTCTATTTTTACAGAGAAACAACAATTATAGAATCTACACGATTGCCTTATCCATCCTACTAATTTCACGCAAAGCTATTGATCATAATTCAGATACCATTCGCAGATGCATTTTGATTGAGTACTGTCGCGCGAATTTCACGACAACTTTTCGTTCCTCATCTTGGCTCTCAGTCTTCATGTACGCGATCCAGAGTCGCTTTCCTTTCATCATGAGTCGCTTGTGATAGTGTAGCTCGAGCTCAGTTCCAACGCTCAGACTACGAGGCTGGGCACCATTGGTAATCGTTTTGGGAATATCTACCAGCTCCATGATGTCTTTGTAGTGCAGTTCAAGATCTTTGATGCATCTGACAAGAGCGCGTAGTGTGCGGACGATATAATCCAAGGTAGCAGTATCATAGGCCGCCTTCTCCAGCGGGATGACTGTCGTCAGCCGATCAATGCAGACTGCATCGGAAAAAACGGCGCCACATATCGACAGGTATGTGCCTATGGAACCAAAGTAATATGTATTATATTAGTGTAAACGCACATAAGAAAGGAGAGAAAGCGATGAAGAGAAGGATGTACGCATACCTTCCAGAAGAATAAGAAATGTGGGAAAACACGTGCGCTCTGCGATAACTGCATTCTCGTTCGCGAGCCTCACTGCGAACTTGGTACATAGTAGCACGAGTTCTGTGCATATGCACAAGTACCCGATGGGAAGTCCGACTTTACCTCAAGGTTGCATACAAGGAACTGACATTCGCCCGTAGTGAAGAATGTACCATCAGTCTTCATGTTGTCACACGCAGCGAACCAAAGGCAAGCCGATGAGTCGCAGGAATCGAACGATGAGTTCTTGCCGTTGAGCTTCGTTCACTAGATATTTTGATGCGAGCAGAACGAGCTCCTCTGTCAGGACTCAACATCGTAATACTTCATTTTCCTCATCGACTTCACCCTCGATCCCGTTGAGACGTCTCAGAAACGTGTCAAAACTGAATGGTAGAACTGGACGGGGATGTCCGAGCAACCTGGATTGCGATGGTTGTAGAGAGGAGGTCCATTTTCCTTCGTGCACGACTTTGGTCCGGATGCCTTGGCGTAATCGGTGGGCGACGGAAGGTTTTCCAGGTCTTGCGGCATTTTCTTCCGTGGTTCCGCTATGTAGGGTGGGCAAAGAGGTGCATAAGCGAGTGTCAATTCCAAACCCCCTTGTAAACAATTATGTATCTCCTTACACTCGTCGTTCCCTTCATTCTCATTCTTCCGTTTTCGATGCGTAGATGAGCGCTCTGTGAATAAGATTTGTCGTTAAGTAAATTCAATCCAATAATAGAAGCCGACACACGTCAGGTACATTCGCGTACCTCGAGGACGCTCGATAAATAAAGTCGAATGCCACGTACCCTTCAATTCATCGATGTAGCCAGCGATGACACTTGCAGGTCCACGTTTCATGCCATCTGCCATGAGCTTTCTTCTGTCGGCGTCAGGAACGCACGGCCTTTAATCTTTTGCTTTTGCAAATTTTCGAGGTCTTCATCGTCCAAATCATCAGAGAATTTTGCTTGAAGGTGCCCGATGAGCTGTTCCGTGCTCCATCCTCTGATGTCGGTAATGGAAGGCGGTTGCGTGGCAATGACAGAGTTCAGACCCACAACACCCACATTTGTGAGATCGGTCAATGGCGTTCTCTCAGATTCACTTCGCTTCTTCTATAATGAAATGGCATCAGATCGGCCACATCAGAGATTAGGGAATCCCAATACAATTAGTGTTGATGCATACATTCAGCTCGCCCTGCCCTTTCTTGCGACGGGTTCCCTCCACTTCATCATCGTCCACATGCTCATCGTCTCTGTTGAGACTGTCCGATGCCACCAGTTTCTCATAACGATCCTCGTAACCATGCGCAATCTCGGTCATCGTTACAGCAGCACCCGAGGTAGACGCCAGGATATAGGCGTGAAACTTTCGTTTACAAGCTTTTCGCAGACTCCTACATTCCGTAGACTGATAAAAAGTTAGCGATATCTGATAATCATTCACAAGGAAGACAGGACTCACTTCGTCATATTCCAGTAATTCTCCAACAAATTCTTTAACAGGAGTCGGGGTATAGCGATGACTTTGTATGAATCTGAGGCTGCTTGTCCAGTTGTCAACGATCTCGTTAAAAGTACTCGGCCCTTCAGAAGTAGAGGAAAGAATCAAAATAGCGGCCAAACGACCACCGCCGCGCCTCCGTGTTCCTAAAGAAAGCCTTGTGTTTTAAATTTGTAGTTTTTGAAAGCGTCCGGAATCTTTGGCTCCATGAAGTTTCGAGATGTACACTAAAGATATAGAGCGCGCTTGGGTAGACGCGTAAATTTTGTTGCGGGCTTCGGAAACCCTAAAGTTATACGTACGAGGGAGAGCGTTACACGAGACGGACTGCGTGTTGCCCGTCTATAGTCATTTCAACCATTTTATGTATTATCCCCCCACGTCTTGCGCGTGCGGCCCGGAAGCATGCCTTCCAACCGGCACACCACTCCCAGTATGATCCTTTCCCGCTTTGGGCACTTCGACATCACGAGCAGCGAAGAGGTCACCAAACATGCAACCTCTATTTCCATCTTCATCTGCCTGATCATTAATTACCACGCTTAAAATTCCTGAATCTGCAAGACTTCAGATGAGTGGTAGTTTATGGTCCACGTGGGCAGCTCAGCGAAGGCGAACGTCTTCCCGCTTCCTGCCTACTGCGATTTTACCACGCTTGCCTTTCCTGGGTACGTATGTATTCAGATGAGTGGTCGAACTGCGGTCGGTTGGGCAGGCTCGGCAAGTGCGAGAAGCGTTCCAGGAAATGAGTTTGCTGATTAGACGGCATTTACAAAAGATACGTCTCCTCATGCTCCACAGTTCTTTCATGGCATGCTAATGAACCTAGTTCGCATGATAGCATTTCTTTTTTTCATTATGTTAATAGGATCGGGCATGATTAACAGGGCTCTTTTAAGTTCAATTTTCAAAATTTTATTATACTGAACTACACTTTTATTCGTTATTCTCCTTTCCCTTTACGTTCTATGTATTTTTGTGTTGTTGAGTAGAGCAATTTAAATTGCTTGATAGCCAAATGATTGAAGAACGCATCATACGATGACAATATATTGTGTGATATCTGTTGTATTAGTGATTCAACTTATGATGATATAATCGTTGTCATTGTCGAAAGAGGCAAA